AATAGATATAAAGAGACACCTATATTTTGATTTAAATAGCGGATAATCAACGCTTCTTGAATTTTTCTTCTATTAATATTGTTTTCTTTACATAATATTTTGTAGTTGTTGTTATTGACTGGATGTTGATTTGTTATGCTGTGTTCATAAATGTGTGATGGGGGATTGTTATGTACTTTAATCCTAATGTTTATGTTACGTCCCGTTTCACCTACATAAGAGCTGTCGCATCTATTGCATTGATATATGTAAATTCATCCGTCATTGAAGTTATCTAAATAGGCCTTCTTTAGATGGTCTTTGATTTTTTGTGCTCGGTTTTTGAACAAACACGACTTTATTATTAATGTTGTATTTTTTTTATACTTGTTCTCAAATGTTTATGACGGTTTTAGTTTCATAACCATGATATGGTAAGATGCCTATTACAGTGTCAGTGTTTGTGTAATTTTCACCATTCTTAGAGTTTATAGTGTTTTCTGTTTCTTTTTGGTGTTGTTGAATTTGTTTTACATTTAGCTAAGGTTCTAGTGACGATTTGTTTAGGGAAATTACTTTTGTTTATAAGTGTCTCGGATATTGTTTCTAGTTCGTGTTGTAGATTTATGTCACTGCATATATTAAATGCTATGTTGTAAATACATGATAATGTGCCGATTTTTTGTTGTATGGAGTGGGCTGAGTCCCACTTTATATAGTTGCTGCCATTATATGGCTTGTGATAGATTTTGGTGTTGAAACTATTAGTGTTTCTTTCTATTACTATGTTCACGTAATTTAAAACTTGGTTTTCATTTTCTTCTTCATAAGTGAATTTGATGTTGTTTATGTGTTGTAGAAATGATTGTTGATGATCGTCGACGTATCTAAATCAGTATGTGGGAGGGTTTAAAGCTGTACTGATGGCCAGACTTTCTATTTTGGTAATGAACAATTCGCACAATCGAGGCGATAAGGGGCTCCCCATACTTAGTTAATCAATTTGTTCATATATTTTACCTTGACAGGTAAAACATATTTTTAATGCAAAGTGAAAGAAAAATTTCTAAATTCAGGCTGTAAATCAATATTTCAGAATTTTTTGATAACAATTCTAGAGCTGGATTTGTTTCTTCCTCTATTGGTATCATATTGTTACGTCTCCGTTCGTTAGTTGATTTTTCGTAACTTCGTTCCGACGAAACTTTAGCGACACAAGTCCTTACTTAATAAAACTGGTTTATTCTTTCCAAATACAACTTTACGATACACTTAATTTCAACAGTCGCGCTATAACAAACGCTATATCTCATGTGGCCAACAATATTTTGTCCGCATACATTCAATTACTCATTACACTGTTGTCCCATCACGTTGTGAGCGTCTTATACATATACCAGACTAACATATATATAGTAAATGCTAGGGCATTCTTGAAGGAACAGGATA